TACCAAGATCTTGGTATTGACACATCATCAGTATAGAATTTCTAAGCTTAATACATAGACATCACTTCGCGGAGTAACCAGTGGTGGTACTGGTGTCACGAAATGTTGCCTGTTTTCTAAGGCCAGTCAAAGCAAATACCTAATAACTTCTTTCATCTCTTGACTCCTGGCTTACGACATAGACAGATAAAACACATCTTGACAGAGAATTCATGACTAAAACTCATTTTGGTCAAGATGGCTTGACATTAGTCTAGGGGTTCATACAAACAAAGAATGTGGCCAATATTTGCTGTATTGACTACACACTTGGCCAAAAATTCTGTGTACATAGGGTGAGGGAAATGACTCTGTCAGACCATGCTATTGACATCCCACATCTCTTAAAGCGATGGAGGTAATCTTACCTTTAATGGCAGCTTGAAGTCCACACTGTACATAGGAGAGATAGGTGTGTGTTCTTCTCCTCCAGGGTCGATACCTTCTAAATTGTGGTGCCTGTCAGTGAGAATTCTCTGCCCTCTCCACCAAGCTAAAGGTGGTTTCACCATTCGACCACTTCTTGTTGTCTGTAGGAGAATTAAATAAATCATAAGTAATGATTCCTGGTCGAATTGGAATTTGGAAATGTTGGTTTTTGAGGAGAGGGGAAAACTGGAGTACCTAGAGGAAAACCTCTTGGAGCAAAGGAGAGAACCAACAACAAACTTAACCCACCAATGGCATTGATGCCAGGATTTGAATCCAGGCCACATTGGTGGGAGGCAAGCGCTCTCACCACTATGCAATCCCTTGCTCCCCAACTTGCAGCAAAAGAAAGTCACTAATGGGAATCAAACCAATGCGATGTTGTGTTATGTCCACCATGACTTTGTTTTTTCGAGCAATTTGGGCCAGTTGTAAGTTGTGATTCAGTTGGTGAAATAAGATGGCAGCCGGCTCTTACAGATATCCCTATACAGCAGTTCCTGGCAGCCCACAGCACCTGACATTTTGCCTTGTGGTGACCAGGCTGCAGAGTGTTGTTCATACGTAATGCTTACTCATGTTGTCTCAAACTGCCACTTGCTGGTATCTCAGCAAGGCTGTGCTCTAAGAAAAATTGAAGAGAGCCCAATGCTCTGAACCTGTGAAATTCGGGGTGCCCAGCATATGATTTCTATTCAAAAAGGTAAGTTTTTCTGGTCGCCTGGGAGGAAAAGTTAGCACCAGGGGCCACATGCTGCTGAAAGACAGCCTTACTCAGCTCGCTATCACACCTCACCTATAATACATGTACTATAAAGTGTCATTGAAACTACTGTCACATCAAAGAGTACACTGCAAATCTTTTAAATTTTTTAATCAAACTTTTTTGTTTATCTCACATCAGTAATAACTTCATTTACCAAAGAATATCTTTAAAAAAAAGGAACATCCTTGCCTTACCTTTAGTTCCACTTCTTTTGGCAGTTTTCTGTTTACTGGGGTCTTCAAAGCTTAACATAAGTTGGCAAAAAATGTTAATACATGAACATTTCAAGATTCTGTGATTGATGTGTACAGAAGAATATTTACTGTAGCAAGTTCTTTGTGTCCAATTACCTATGTTTAGCCAAAGAGAGATCTGGAATGAATAATTTGAACTCTGTTAAAATGATATATGTAGCTTGATTTTACAGCTTACGAGTTAACTCTTGTCTTTTAGTGTGAAAATTTTGAAAATTCATATTAAAAAACTACCAAGAAAGATAGTGTTTGGTAGGTGTCTTTCTATCTTACGCAGAAACAGCTAAACTTTTATGTCTAATCTTCTTGATCAAAACAAGCCCAACTCTGTGCAAGAGTAACAAAATTTACATAAGAAGTGTTTGAAGCTAGAAAACGCAGAGTCTATGCTTAATCAAAAGCTGTGCCTCGCGTTTTAAATTTGATAATTAAAGCATTGCTTCAATATAAAAACAAACACAAAAAGGAAGGATGAGATGTAAATTTTATTCTGCATATTGCTTTACCTGTATCTTTTCCTTTTATCTTAACCTTGGATTCAGGAGGAGTAGCAGTGGTTTTGGAATGCTTAATCTTTTTTGAGGTGGGTCTTGTCTCTTTTTTAACAAGTTGGTCAGGAACAGATTTCTCATCTTCACTTTCAGAGCTGAAATGTAGGATTTCAGTCAGGATTGTAACACTGTTTTGGATTTGTTCGAAAATGTAGACGTGAACTTCTGTATGGGTACCTGCAGACATTGATTTCGTTGCACGTTTTCCATCAAATAGTTGGTTTTTAGGCGAAACTGTTGTACATCGAGAATTTTTTGCATGGTAATGCTACTAGTAAGCTCAGCATAACCACATCAAGGACAGAAAAGAAAAAATAGGCAAAACTAAAACACTGAACTTGCAGTGCACTTTTTTGTGGGTTTCTTTGCTGTCATTGCATGACTAACAAACTTGATTGAAATGGTAATGCAATGGTTGTTTTAATCTCTAAGATTGTCACTTCATGAATGGCGATTGTCGCGACTTTGACTTTGTCGTAAATACCCATACAGAGGCTCAGATGTCCAGTGTCACAGGTATCTTTCCAACTCCTTTCAAAACAAATAACAAACACTAACCTGCTTTGAGAATTGAAATGGTCACTAACAAGTGAAAGCCAGTTTGAAGGGAAGCCATACTTAAATGATTTCACAAATTCAGAAGAAAATCCTGAAAAATAATAGAATATTAACATTTCTCTGTTCTTTTTTTCTGTACCAAAATATCATTACTATGTTGAAGGCTTAGGTAGTTATTTATATTAACAATGATAAATAGAAGTAATGTTGTTACATGGCTGCAGGGAGATACGAAATTTCTCTTTGAGTGTTGACTATATAATATTATTTTATGAGTGACCTCTTAATGAGTGAAATATTTTAATTTCAACGAGAGAAGAGTGACCATGTAATGTTCTATTTACTACATAATTGCCAATGATAAACCAAACCATTTCACTTCGAGAGTTTTTTGCTGTGAAAGGTGTGAATTATTATGTAGCCATTGCAAAGGTGATCTTTTCACATGCGAAGAACAGGTTATTTTCATGCGTGAAGATATCATGTTTTTGCGCAAAAGCTCACCTGATATATCACTGGTGTTTGTATAATAAGAAGAGTATATTTTTAGCAAAATACTGAGCAAAGTATATACCTTGTTGGAGGGTGACTGTTTCATTTATAGGCCCCACAAGCCTGTACTGAGATCCACTTTTTGTCTGCAGTAGTTTAGCATTCACTCTTGATACTATAGCTGTGCTATGCCATAGTTCACCTTCTGGGTCCTCACTAATCAGCAAAATATGATTGTTTTTTAATACTGACATGAAAAGGCACTGCAGTTAGGTATGCTGCCAAAGTAAAACAGTTCACTTAAAGCAGAGATTTACATTTCACAGATTATTTAAAACCTTACAAAAACAGGCTGGTTTATAAATGATTTGTTTTGCACTATTAGACAGGGTGACCAAACTTATTTAAAACCCACAAGGTACAAAACAAAAATTTTGACTAATAGAAATAGAAGAAGCATGAATCTTCTGAACAAAGGAGACAAAGGCAATGATCACGATAGCACAACAGTGATAATATGGCAGTATTGAGTATGCATTGGTCAGTATTGAGTGAGGATTGGTCAGTATTAAGTAAGTATTGGTCACGCCATAGAAAACAGAGTCTCACCTTCTCTGACCTTCAACAATAATTCCCATGTGTGTACGAGTCTTAACTGCTTTAATCGACCAAAGCTTAAGGACATTCAGCCTGGGTAACTTATGCTGCTAAAGACGAAATGTAAATGCGAGTATAAGTACAAAAAAAATGAAGGCCTTACTTCTAGTAATTATAATTTGATACATGTAAGCTGTCTGCATTTATGGCATATTTAAAAAGTAACAGTTAACTGAATGTGTATGTATAACACCAATCCGGACAAGAAAACACAGCTTTCTTTCTTCCCATTATTATTATATTTCTTGCCCTTTATGTTACAGTAAAAAATAATGGACTAGGGAGAAATGATGTAATGTTCAAATGTGTTTACTACACATAAAGTGACATGTCAGAATAATAATAATAACCAAAGTTTAAGCACTGAGTGTTTTAGCTATTTGCGGTCCAACATTGTAAGAAACCATTCAGCTTTTAATATCCATAGACTTTACAAATGTATAATGTAGTAAGAATAAAGAACATGTACTGACCAATAGAATTACTTTGTAAAAACTTGTCTGGTTTCATGATAGAACTATTTAATAAAAACTTTTGAACAATTTGGGCAAGGTATATGCTTATGAGGCAAAGAAGTTTTGGAAACAAGGATTTGCCTTTTGACTGACCTGTTCTGTACTCAACTCTGTTGAGCTATCGAGGCTCTTTGCTATAGTCTCATCTTTTGCTTTTGTATTCAAATTATTGTTTTTGTCAACATAGTCGTCGTTATCTTCACCACCAGTCTTATTGTTTTCATGATTTTCAACTTGTACATCCTCAGTAACAACATCAACCTCCCCATCGCTCTCATCAAAGGAGATGTGTACCTCCTCGCCACTGTTAGCAGTTTGAGCCTCAACAATGGTTGCCACACCATTGCTCTTTACTGACTGTTTTTCAGCATTCCCAGGGGAAATTGTAGTATCCCTGTTTCTAATGGTAGTAAATGTTGGTTCACTGCTCCCTGCAGAATCACTTTGGGCATCATTAAATCCAGAATCCTTGCTTAAGCCTCTTTCTACATGGTGTGTCGACTTCATGCCCTTTGCTATAGTCGCCGTAGGAGTGATGTCATCATCATCTTCCAGTCTGCTTATCACCATACTTACTTTCTTTTTAATTGCACTGTCATTTACCAATGGTTTAAATGGACTGATTTCAAACTCTTTGTTGTTTAGGCTGCAGACTGGAGTTTTGGGCTTAACATTAGCCAGTGACTGCTCAGACAAGGTTGAATGAAGACTCGTACTCGTAGAGCTTTTATTGTGAAATGATTCAGCCATTTTGACCACATCATTAAAACTATTAAAACTCTTGGCTGTTGCTGCCTTTTGACGCACAGGTCCTGCTGATGAATATATTTCCTGCAGAATGTACAATCACAGTTAGAGTGGTTTTACTAAACCTATGAAACAGTGCATAAGTGGCAAATAGTTATAAGTAAACAAAAGAAAGCATTGCCGTTGGCAGTTAGGTCAGTAATTCAATGACAGGAAAGAAGTCTACCATAAATATTTTCAGAGTTTTTCTTTTGCTCATAGACCAAACGCTTTTTTGATTTTCTTGCATCCATTGTCATCACTGTGGCTGCTTTGGCAAGGGACGATTTTCGTTGAAAACCCAGCAATAGATGGAAAACACATGATGAAGGCAATTTCCATAGGTGCCCATACGGGATCAGGTTCAATACACCTACAGGTAACTCAGTTAACAAATCTATTGTTCTTGTGTAAATTGCATTGAATCTAGTTATCACTCGGTTTTCCACCATGAAAATACAGAACTACATTTGCCATTTGTCAAAATCAGTTAACATTTCTTAAGTAATCGGAAATGACCCAGTTAAAGTTAAGTTCCCTAGTGTGAACGCGGCCATACCATATTTTAGATGTTTTGGTATTTTGATTTATTAGGAGATCATGTTACAGTCTTCCTTCAACGCAACGGCTATCCATCAAATGTGGACCGATGGAGGCCGCATTGTGGACGTTTGACTGTATAATCGAACTCACCTGAGCGCGGGGACTCGAGAGAAAAACCTCCTCAAACCGAGAACGTGCGTCCAGTACTCCGTCATTTGATGATGATGCTGCTAAGAAGTCTCTCTCCATGAACGATCTGCTCCGCTGGAAAGTGCTTCCAACAGCAATCGGCTCCAGGTAAGGGTGAACAAAGCGCTGTATACTATATATTTCTTTTGATTTAGTCCGGTTCATGACTAAAACTAACGGAAATAGAAGAAAAAGCCATTATTGAACTCGCGAGAACTCGCGCCAAAACTCACCAATCGACTTTCTGAACATACAGTTTTCTTTACAGCGGTTTTGCTTTGTAGCAATATATACGTTGTGTACCAATACATACGTTGTGTACTCCTGTTGTGAGCATCCTGAATTTTGGACATCGTTACTCCATCTTCCGTGTAAAATGCAGTCATCACTGTTTAAGTTTTTCGGAATTAGGCATACAGAGGCTTCAGAAAATTCAGGTAGTTTTGTTGTTACAGCAACAAGTCATAAATCCAGATATTGTAGGGCAGGTACCCTGTGTAGGGGCGTTTTCAGTAGATTGCCCTTCACTGCACTTCACTGCAAGGGTCTGCACAAGAACAAGGAAAAAGAACCTTGATCAATCTTTTATACTTACATTGGAGGCTCATTTAATGCCCCTAATTTCTGAATCGTTAAATTCTTAAAGTAAGACTGTTCGTTGATTCAGGCATTTAAAATCTTAACTTTGAAGTTTGACAGCAATCTTCATTCCCAGCGACCGCGGAAAACGACGAGAAAAAGTCACCTTGGAGCAAGTTTGATGATTTACCCCTGGAAGAGAAGCGTCAGTTGTACCGATGTGGGACAAATTTCGTGACTTTGAAGGACGTTCCAAGCTGGACAGAATACCGAAAGGATCATTTGTATGCTGTTTATGGAAGGAAAGGTAGATACTGAAAGTTATATATCCATTGTTTGGCTTCAATTCAGTTGTTGAAAAAAATGGAAGATTCATAATAAGCGTTGAGTGGGCTAACGGCTTTACTACATTATTAATGGTACAAAGTAGCTCCAGGCCCATGCATATTAAAGGTGGATCACGGAACAATTAAGGACCGCAACCTCGGGAGATCTGTAATCTGAGTTCTCTCTTACATTAGCCTACAAATGTATCCCCCACACAAAATTCAGTGGCAAATCCAAAGGAGGGGCCTGGGTCTCCCCCTTATTTTTAGACCAAACTGAGGCTGGAAGGGCCAAGAAACAATTTTTTTGGAGGCTGCCTCCCCCCCCCCCCCCCCCCCCCCCCCCCCCCCCCCCCCCCCCCGACAACCCCCCCCCCCCCCCCCCCCACCAGAAAAAACACAAAAAAAAAAAAAAATATACAAAAAAAACTAGAGAAAACACAAACAAAAAAAACAAA